CAACACACCTAATCAGTCCACGAGCCACATGAAAGGGAGGAGAAGCGGCTTTATCGGGGCTAATGGAGATCCGACCTATTCACGCCAAGCGAGGGAGAGAGCAGCTCTGTAGTCGCAGTCCGGAGTCAAAGATCATGAAGTTATTTGTTGATGCAGTAATGGGATTTGGCAGGAAGGTAAAGCTGCACATCAAACCTTGAGCTATGTCTTTAATCTGCCTGTGTGTGGCTGTTTGTATGTGTGCCACTACATGACTCACACAGCATTTTTCATTGATTTCTCCAACATACCACATGACATCATTGAAGCCACTGTAAACTTTATCAGGCAAAGGTTTCTGCTGTAAGTCATGTGTTGTGAAAGGGAGGAGGGGGAGGAGGGCTGTATTCTCAGAAACAAACCCTCATAATAAAAATGAGCTCATACATCAGAGCCTCCCTCGATAAGTAAAGGTTTCTTTGTTCGACTGGTGATGTCATTTACACAAAGAAATTATCTGAATGAGGAAGTTCCCCCTCAGGTATCATCTAGTGAACCCTGCACCAGCATGACTTTGTTGACAGTCACACACTTTATGAAAAGAAAATAACAACACTGAGAGTCTGCAGTTATGAAGACAGCTCTCTGAGGCTCAGCTCGCTACATGCTAACATCCGCATTGTAATAAGCTCATAGAGAAACTGTGTTCTGTTGTTTAGCAGGAAATATGAACACCATGGTCACAAAAGTTATAGCTTAGCGAGCGTCAAAGTATGTTAAATATTTTGATAGACTCACTCATGAACCAAAAAGTGCACAATCTCATTAAATGACGTGTTTGCTAATATGAAATAAGTAATCACAGTTTTCAGGATTCAACCAATTTGCATGCTACGATGTTTAAAGGTCACATATTCGCCTCCTTTTCAATAAGTTTTAAAATAAGTCTCTGAGCTCCCTGAAACATGTCGGTGAAGTTTCTTGTTATAAATCCACTCTGATCATGCCTATAAACCCCTCTATTTCAGCCCTGCTCAGAACAGGCTGTTTCGGTGTTTGTACCTTTAAATATGTAAATGAGCTGTGTCTGACCACGCCTCCTCTCTAGAAGTACTTGGGTGGCTTGGTGCTTTCTCGCACAATGCCCTATTGTTTACGGTGACAAGGCAGACTCAGAGGTAAAAAATAAACACCCACTTGGAGGAGGGGTTACTGCCCTTTGTGATGTCATGAAGGGAAAATCTCAAGCACACATTTTCTAAAAAGTGGAGCAGGCTGAAGACAGAGAGGATGGACGTTTCTCATAATTGGGGGGTTTGTAGACAGACAAGAGACACATATTAGTGTCAGAAAAACATGGTGAAGTGTGTTTCGCATAATATGTTACCTTTAAGGTAACATTACATCCCATTTGTTCCCATGTTTGGATGCATCCACTGGGGACCATGACTTTCTAATCCATCCATCCAGTTTCTTTTTATACTTTCACCAAAATGCCTAAAACAAAAGAACTGACTGATTGATTTTCCGAGTGGAAAAGTCAGAGGGTCCTCCATGTTAATGTGGGATTGAGATTAGGAATCAATAGTTTTCGACATCCTGGGACCATGAATGTTTGTCAAAAATGCCAAGGGAATCCATCTATTGTATCCTCAGAGGTTTCACCCTTGGTAGACTGACCTGACCTACTCTGTCACAACTAAATCTATGCTCCTGTTATGGATAAAAACTAAACATGGTATATATTAACTATATACAATAACGATATATTGAATATATATGGAATATGTCCGAAACATATGCCTGCAGTCCACTGATGTATTACCAATTAAAACAAAAGTTGACATGATGAGATCTTCACTCTGGTGCAGGAGAAATCCCTCTACCAGGATAAATGAGTTTAACTACATCCTCTCGGACTTTGTTGTAATATTTTAGAGCCACATTATGAGCCAATCACACCTTATTATACCTGGTTGGAGCACTTCAATTCTTGGATCTAAGGATCTTTCAGCAACTATCTATCAACCTGCATACATCTTTGAACATTTCCTACCCCACAGAGCTTTCTCCATGAGACTTTCTTCGAGCGAGTGCATGTCTGTACTCGCCTGCACCTGAGTTAAAAAAAATTGGGGAGATGCAGCAGAGATCCTCCCAGAAACCCACAGAGGCATGCAGTTAATTGCCCCTCCTACAAACTCTACCACAAAAGCACTACAAAAAGACTCTAACCCAACATGCCTGCAGTTATACTTAAAAACCCTCCGTCTGGACCCTCCCCTGAGCACATTTCTGTCTGCAGAAAAGGAGTTATAAAACACTCTTTTTCATTGTAAAACCCCTGGAGTGCACAATGGTTTGGTTTTTACAGGGCAAGTACACATATTTGGAGAGCTCAGTGCTGAATGAAGTCACAGTCTGGATTTAACCACAGCTGCTGAAGCAGTGTGGGAGTGCAGCATGTCTGCAGTTGGTGTGGAGAGCTGGGGAAATATTTCCAATTGATTTCCCTTCGCGCAGATGACACTGTGGTCTAAACTGGATCGCATCCTTTGTGGAAAAAACGCCGGAGATATAAATAACATGTCTTTGGCACCATGTCAATGTTTTATTCTATCATTACCAGAGAGCAGATATCGCTCCCAGTCCCTGGTATTCATTTTAACAGCTGCATCCAGTGAACAGACAATGCCACGTCGATGTTTCAAAATCAGCTCTCAAAAGTCTTAAAGCCAAAGTCTGACATTGTTAGGAAACATGTTGATCCTCTTTTGGGCAACATTGATGCCACACTTCAGTCTGTAAGGTGGGTTTGAGTCTACAGCAAGCAGATGGTTTGGTGGGTGGTTTTGCAGATGGAAGGTTCTGCATAGCTTAGCATAAAAACGTGTATAATGGAAAAACAGCTAACCTCGATGTCTAGAGGTTACAAAAGCCCCCACCAGCACCTGTTCAACTTTCTATAAAGGTTATACTGTTACTTCAATCCTTACAAAAACTCAAGTTTAACAATTACGATACAGTTAGCTGTTTTGAAATTGCGAGGTAAAAATGTTTTGTGTCCTGTTTTTAATCTTCTGTTGTTGTATGAAGTGTAACTTCAGATATCAATAACCTCAGCTGTTGATGAATGAAGTAAATGCAAAAAAATGCAGTTCCTCGAATGGCCACTTGAAGCTAGCTACAACAGTCAGTGAATCCCCATTAGGTCCCATGTTTAAATGCCAGTTTCTACAACAGAAAGAAACATGTTTACGTCTTTTTTAATACACACTGTACAAGGTGTGAATTTGATTATAACTCATCTGTTTTGATTTTATTTAGCATAAGAGTTATTCATACATATCCACCACCAGATGTGTTGCTAAGCTAGCTTGTTGCTAAGCCATCGTTAGGCTTCAAAGGTCTTCTTAAGAAACCACTTAGTTACTTCACAAATACGACATCCATATTTTAAACTCTATGGTTTTGATACAGTAAAAAAAAAGTTAGCTTCCAGAGATTTGAAGTTGATTTGTTGTTTCTGAATTATTTCCCCAAATATTTCACCTACGCTTCACTGAGTAACCCAGGTCAGAGTTTAATATCTTTTTTTTCTTTAACTTTTTTTAACCACTTAAGGACAGTTAATCCGGTTATGTACAAAATTATTACATTATCTTTCAATTGGAGTCATGTTTTAAGTGCTGAGTTTGTCCAAAAATCGCTTTTTTCCTCTTCTTTTCTGTCTCCATCGACTCTTTAGGAAACTATCTGTCCTTTCACTCACCTATGTTCACCTGCAAGTCTTTCACTTTGTCTTCTGTCTGACATTTGGTGCTGAACAGGTTTAGTACAGTGGACATTTAGAGGTTTCTCTCTAATATTAGCTGCCTGTTAAACTTGAAAACAATCTTATGAATACACCGAGACAATAAAGTGACATGTGGCTGAGCTGCACAATGACTTATCTCACAGAACTTCGAGACTATCTAATTGTCGTTAGGGTGAATCTGATTGGATCGTCAGCTTCGACAAAGCTTTTTAATCAGTCGTAAATTGGTAGACGCCCACGAGTGTAGGATGAGTCATCAGACATTTGAAACATTTTACAGGAAGAGAAAATTCAATTATAAATGTAAAAAATACTCAGATTGTGCTTTATTTAAATATAATTGGCAGATACACATTTAACACAAGAATGGTAGATTCAAACCAGGAAAATGTGTTTTTCATTTCATGGGGACTTTGAGCTCGAGGTCGTTCATCCCATCTGCCGTCAGACTGTTTAATCAGACTGTTTAACAGCATCACCACCTCATGCTACACACTGTGTGTGTTTTTTTAAAAACAAAACCCTTTCCTGTGTAGTTACTGTGTCATTTTACATTATTGTATTTTTTTATTTAACTGTAAATATGTTTGATTTGATTTTAACTTCTATTTTTATTTTTAATAATTATATTCCCGTCCCCTGTTTTCTGGAGCTGCTGTAATGCACAAATTTCCCCCACGGGGCATCAATAAAGTTAATCTTTATCTTTATCTTTAGCTTTAGCTCTGTAAAGCTGGATGTTTTTAGATGGTTAACTATCTCAGTTTACAACGACCCACCCCCATAAATCATTTGATACACGTTGTTCTGAAAATATTGATTAAAGCCTCAATGAACAAGAGGATCAATCTTCCTCTGTAATTGTAAATGTCACACTTTTCCTGAAAAACTGCTCAGATGATGGATCCGAAAAAGTGATGTTTCCAACTACATAACATTGGATGAAGGGAGTGATTGATGTGTCCATTTGTCTTTGGTGTTGAACACCATCCCTGCCCCATGCCCAGTCAGTCACATTGCTCACATACAGTCACACTCCACCCCTCCGCCTGCCCTGCAGCAGTTGGCACAGTGGTGTCAGCTCAAGCTCTCAGCTGTTAGTGTGGCCGACCACTGACTGCACCAGCAGCTGTTAGCGACTGCACCAACACTTGCATTAGAGCACCAGGACACCGGGGTGAGGATAAAACAAAAGGCTTTTCAAGTTCTAGCCCAAATGATCTCAAAGGTATTCCTTATTTGCCTACGTGTACATATAAAAAGAAAAAGAAAGGTTGCAAACATTTAATTGAATTATTTTCTTAAAACAGAGACACATACCGTGCTTTGAGGTATTTTGACACAGATACTGACGGTTCATGTGTGTGTACAGGGTACATATCTGCAGTTTGCTTCTTCCTTGAAAGCTTCACACGGGGATCCAGACTTTGGAGTCGCTGAAGATGAACGACTGCTTTGAACAAAACTGAGGATCATAGAAACCTGGAAAGATGAAGAGAAAGTTCAACTTCATCATTTTCAGAAGCAACTGAAACAATTAATATATATTCATTCTAATGTTAACAATAACTCAGGCAACAAGGTGTTTCTCAGATTGTTAGAGAAAATCATGTCTAATAAACAAACAACCTGAAATAACAAAACTAAAACTTGTCATAAATTGACTTTATGACTTAATTTAAAATGAAGTTGAATTTTATATTACAGGATTTGGACAAGTTGCAGAGGGGGGGGGGTTCTTTTCTCCTCTGCTGCAGCCGATGATAGACAGAGATATATGATCCATGAGCAGGAGCTTTGCCCTCTTGATAATATCCAAACAGTCAGGGGCATTCCCTGTTTAAATGTGTCACAGCTTTGTGTCGGTGGGGAATTCTCCCATTCAGCCCCAAGCCAAAAAGTGCATTAACGATGATACTAATCAACCCTCTGAATCGTCATCACCGTTTGGCTTTAGTTACATTTGTGTTTCACCTTTCCTCTTTTAGAATAGAGTCATTGTGAAACAGAGAACGATTGAATGACAATAGTTCAAGTTCAGATTGATTTTGAACAAGACACATGTAACGTAAAAGGTCGGCCAAGAAAGGTCGAGGTGCTAAAACATTTTTTTACATTTCTGAGGGGGTCAAATGTGTTTTCTCATTTAAAAACTCATTATTCAGCTGATCAGGGAAATCCAAATGTTTGTTGTGTAATAAACAGCACATTTTAAGGATACTCATATCCTAATAACAAATGAATAACACAAGGGGAAGTCCAACAACACAACTGTGCTCTAAGTAGACCATGAGACCACTAGTCAGACTCTATAGGGGTCAAATTTACAAAGCATCACAACAAAGAAAAAAAAGCAACACTGATATTTTCTTTCCTCCCTGACTTCATACACTTTACACAAGCATGAGGAAATACATGATTCTTGGTTAGCAGTATGAGAACAACACAACAAGTTACGGCTAAGTAGAAGACCTCATATTACCCAAAAGGAACGAGAGAACACTGACATGTGGATAATCAGAGATCTGACAAGAGGAGCCGGTGGGATAAAAGAGGAGAATCCCCCTGCAGATTTCAGGACTTACTGTAGAATGAAAATGCTGCCATTAAATTTTCATGCGCACCTACTTTTCCTCTTCCTGCCTCATTTACATATCCTCAAGTCAGCATTTCTTTCTGCACTTGCCTCACTGAATTTAAACAGCTCCTGGGGTAAGGATGCTAATGTACTGCAAACCACCAAATCTAATCCCCAAATTATGTATTCATCATTTAATCAATTTGAATACAATGGGCAGACAGGGGTGGGAAATTTGTGGTTTTCTAAATCACAAACGCCCCCGTCCCTGCAGAGGCTGTATCTCCGCCTTATCTGCAAACATGATTCAAATGCATCAAACATATATATATATCATCAGGAAAGAAACCTTTTCTCTGAGCTACAACCTCTGAGTTTTGGAGAGGCAACGTCACCTGTGTCAAGTTATTCACAGAAACAAGAACATACCAACCACACCAATATGTCCTCTTACATGTATGATTTAAGTATTGATGTTACATGTAGTGTTTTCAGGCATTACCTGGTCCTGGTGTCGTGTTGACCTTTAAGTTTTGGAGTTTTCTTTCAGTTCCAGATGCAAATGCAGCCGTGAGCTTTGGAAACTTGGACAGGCCTTTGCACTCATTTATGTCGTAGTGCCCCGGGCCGGGTGGAGGAGGGTCCTTAGGGACAATCAGAGGAGGAGCTGCTATAGCTAAACAATGCCCCCTCCTTAAAACACAGTTTACAGAATGTACATGTTAAGGCCTCAGAGAGGAAATCAGTTTTTAACATGAAAAATAAAGCTATGAATGTTGTGTGTTTACTCACGGCAGGAGGGTCCTCTTTACTGGCGCAGGGGTCTGATGGGGACTGTAGGCTCCTGGGCCAGGTCCACACTGTGCCGCTGAAGCAGGTATTCTCTGGGTTTTGGATCTGAAGGGGGACGACACCGCCTTGGGGCAGAGCTGGATTACATTGGTGTTCACGTCATATTGACCTGTTCAAAAGTATTAAGAAAGATTAAATATATTAGAGATTAAAATGTGACTTTAAAAGATTTAACCAAAAACACCATAACATGAGATCATGCATGTCTTTAAATACAGAAATAAGAGAAGGAGAGGTAGTTACATGGCGATGGCGCATTCTTGTTTGGGTCAAAAGTGGTGCGTCTAGTTTTTGACAGGAAAGCTGATGTACCGACCGCTGAGGAGAATCTCTCTCTACTACGACAACTGACCTGTCCATACAAGAAGAAAGAAAAAGCAGCACATTAACTACAGGATACACAACACTGACATTAACAGCAGAGATCATACATACATCATATTGATTCGGTGCTGGAGTCAGGTGCTTTGGACCCTCCACCTTCACAGCCACAGGCAGCCTGAACACTCTGGACACTCCTGTGTTGAAGTCCTTCTTTTGTACAAAGGAGCTCTGCAGGTTGTATGCATTCGGTCCTGGGAAGCCGTTCACTGGGAAGCTGGAAGGTCTGGCAGCCTTTTGGAGAGAAATACAACCAAGTCCAATTTCAGTCAATCAACCAAAACCAAACTCAGCCTCAAGGCCATCACAACAACCAAAATATGATTTGTATAATGTCTGTGCGATTTTTTTAAACATCCAAAAAGCAAGCGTAAGAGTCTACAAACATGTTTGGCTCTGTGTACCTGTAACCGGATGTACTGCAGAACACAGATGCTATGAGCTAATTGCTAACACTAGCATGCTGTGGCTTAACAGGTATGATGTTTAACCACCCTAACTGGGCATGTTAGCATGCTAATGTTTTATAAAAAAAATAATAAAAAAAACATTGTTGATTGCAGAAGACAGAGCAAATCATCAGTTAGTGAAATGTTTTATAAGTGGAACATACTGTACATGTGAGAACCACACTGTATTCCAGTTCATTCAACAGTTTGGAAGAGATTTCAGTAAAAGTAAAAATATCAAACTCATGATATCAGTAAGATTTTATGTAAAAGACTCAAATAGATTTGATGCATGTCTAAAGAAAGCAGCAAAGTTGTCACCTTTTAAAGTTGCAATATATTGCATACCTTATTTGAACTTATGGAAAGTTACTTTTCTTATATGCAATATACATTATTAAAGCAAGTTGATTTTAGCTGTTGATACCTGTATGCTTGTGCACCTTAAGGCGGAGCTTTTCTAATTACGTTGTAAATGGACTAAATGGACTAAATGGATGGCAGAGGCTGCTATGTAAAGTTTCCATCAGAAGTAACTAATCCCATTCATACTCATTCATATAGCAAGAGCAATTCATGGTTAAGTGTCTTGCCCAAGGACACATCAGACATGTTGTTGCAGGAGCTGGGGATCGAACCCCTGACCTACCAACTGAGCCACAGCTGGACAACAAAGGCTTTCTATTTCTATTAATTTACCTGCTCTTGATTCACAATCACATGATATTGTATGGCAAGCCGTTCAGGAAATTAATATACTGCATGAACCTCTAAATATATTGAATGAAGTCTGAATATATGAAATTGAATCTGATTTCAATTCTCCTAATCCACTAGTTTCATTGTTGCTGAATATGCTGGTTTTGCAAAATGACATCAGCTGAAATATACCAATACTTTGTTGAACGTCAGAACTTTTTTGAAGCAGCTGTTTGTACTCAAAATTATATGAATAATTTAGAATGTAGATTGCGTCACCTTGAAGATCATAGTTCATTTATTGGAACACTTTTACTGCTTGTGTGTAGTAATGTTCAACAATCAATGCTGAGCGCATCCATCTTTAGGGATTTTTTTAGTCTCCGAGTTGTTAGCTGAAATAACACTACAGACTTTCATTCAATATATTCAAAGTTTCATTCAATATATTAATTTCCTGAATGGCTTGCCATAATATTGTTATTGACAGACGTAAAGGACCCTGACCTTGGATACCACAAAGCCTGTGGTGCCTTTGATTGAGAAAGAAGGACTTGTGAGTACAGCGCTGGAGACACAATCATAGCTGCACGGTCCTGGATTTTCACCCTGAAACAAAAAACACATCATCATCATCATGTCTTTGTTGTGTGTTATCGTTTTAGAAATGTAGCGTATAATTGAAGGGTTTTGAAATCCCTACCAGGGTAGCTTGAGGAGAAACCTCTTAGCTTGAGATGAAAACCCCTTCTTTTCTGGATTTGTTATTATCACCACTCGTTGGTGTTTTGCAGGAATTAAAGATGAAATGCTGCAAGTCGACATTTTATCTGCTTTAAGATAAATCAATCAATCAATCAAAATGTATTTATACAGCACCTTTCAGACAAATTAAATTGCAGTTCAAAGTGCTTAAAAGTGCTAAGAGTCAATCAATCAATCAATCAATCAATCAATCAATCAAGTTTTATTTGTAAGCATCAACTCATAAGTGTTATCTCGAGACACTTTACAAAAAGCAGGTAAAATACCTTACTCTTTGTCTGTTAACATTACAAAAGAGCAGGTAAAAAGACCTTACTTAAGAGTGCAGAAAAGTTGTTGACAAAAAGTAGTTTATAAAATCATTGATAAAATCACTGAGAGACTAATGCACACCAATAAGAATTTAAAAAAAATATGTATAAAAATAAAAAAAATACGACACATAAAACAACAAGATATTAAAATAAATACATAAGAGGAAAATATTTAAAATTGTCGTAGGATAAAAAAGACAATACAATAATGTTAAGATTTGAATTGATATAAAACACTATATAAAAGCCAGACTGAATAAATGAGTTTTAAGAAGATTTAAAAATCTCGATATTAGAGAAAAGTTAAAATATATTTATGTGACTTAAAACTTACTTGTATTAAACGGTTCAGTCCGAAATCAGGCGGAAAGTTATTGTTCAAGTCTGAAGCCTCACAGATACTGTTGCTATGGCGACCAAAACACGACGTGTGATTTGAGCTTACGTCCGTTGTGTAAATGTAGTTCAACAGTCTGTGGGTTTGCGGTCTTTTAGCGCCATCTCCCGGCAGATAGGCCGCACATCGGGCGTTTTCAATAGAGCTGGTTTGCTTGTTTCTCTCGCGAGATCTGGCAAAAACACTTGCTCTTGTTTTGTTTCCAAGACCGCTTGGTTGCTGTTGTTTCTCTCGCGAGATCTGGCAAAACACCGCTCTTGTTTTGTTTCCAGACAGCTCGATCCATCATGGCGATGCACGCGAAGGCGACGCCGCCACAGATCCCGGACACCCGCCGGGAACTCGCCGAACTGGTGAAGAGGAAACAAGAACTAGCAGTAAGAAATATGTTTGCCGCATTTTCGCCCTTTGCCTCCGTTTTGAATCACAGCGAGCTATAAATGAAAACCGTAACGTTTGCTAGATAAGGCCTCACTTGATGCTAAGATGCTAAGCTAACCATAGCATCGCCCGGTTTGCTTCTACTAGTTAGCATTGGGACAGAGGTGTAGAGGGGTAACGTTTTTCGCGTTTTTGTGGTTATTGAAGGTGGACTCTGCTCGTAAATGTTTATATTAAAGTACAATAAGCTCTCGAGTTTGATTCGGTTAGCTTGTGTTAAATTGGCGGGCACATCAACACTCAAACTGCAAAAAACTACAGTTTAGCCGCCGCTCGGCTCGGCTGAGTTCTCGCGATATGTTAGAAGATTTGCCAGCTTGCCCTTTTTTTCTTCTTCTTCTTTGGTGTTTTGCGGCTGCGTCCATCCACATTGTTGCATTACTGCCACCCCCAGGAGCCGTTCTCCTTCATTCATCAAGTTGTCAAGTCCAGTCAGTTAAATATTAGTTTTTTTTCCAATTGCTAAAACACAATTTTCCAAACTAGGCTTGTTTTTATCAAAATACTTACATTACTACAAAACCACACACCCAAACTGCAAAAGACCTCATATATATCCTGCAAGATGAAGCACTGCAACCAAAACTACATATAGCATTATCAAAATCAAACTTTTGCACTTTGGCACACACTTCATTCATATTACCAGTCTAACCAACCACACACCGTTGGGCATAATGAAAAGCACACTCATCTTTAGCATGCTTTGCCATAATACTAACATAGTTTGAGTTGTAGAAAATTCTTCAGATTGTTCACATGCACAGACATATTTGCAGATACACACACATGCTGTTAAAACATTTATTTTTTTTATTTTTCACCAAACAAGTCAGTGCAACATATACCAGGACAGTAAAACGGCTCAAGTTGGGCTGCACTCTCTGTCCAGCCTCTCGCATTGTCAGCCCATGATGACATGATCAACTAAGGTTGCTCTGATTTCATTTGAAAGTTGTTTTTTTCTTTGGCCATGAACTCCTCTACCAGCTCTACCCCTACCTCTCACTCTTCCTCTACCAGCTCTACCTCTACCTCTCACTCTTCCTCTACCAGCTCTACCCCTACGTCTCACTCTTCCTCTACCAGCTCTACCCTACCTCTCACTCTTCCTCTACCTCTCACTCTTCCTCTACCAGCTCTACCCCTACCTCTCACTCTTCCTCTACCAGCTCTACCCCTACCTCTCACTCTTCCTCTACCAGCTCTACCCCTACCTCTCACTCTTCCTCTACCAGCTCTACCTCTACCTCTCACTCTTCCTCTACCAGCTCTACCTCTACCTCTCACTCTTCCTCTACCAGCTCTACCTCTACTTCTCACTCTTCCTCTACCAGCTCTACCTCTACCTCTCACTCTTCCTCTACCTCTCACTCTTCCTCTACCAGCTCTACCCCTACCTCTCACTCTTCCTCTACCAGCTCTACCCCTACCTCTCACACTTCCTCTACCAGCTCTACCTCTCACTCTTCCTCTACCAGCTCTACCTCTACCTCTCACTCTTCCTCTACCAGCTCTACCCCTACCTCTCACACTTCCTCTACCAGCTCTACCTCTCACTCTTCCTCTACCAGCTCTACCTCTCACTCTTCCTCTACCAGCTCTACCCCTACCTCTCACACTTCCTCTACCAGCTCTACCTCTACCTCTCACTCTTCCTCTACCTCTCACACTTCCTCTACCAGCTCTACCCCTACCTCTCACTCTTCCTCTACCAGCTCTACCCTACCTCTCACTCTTCCTCTACCAGCTCTACCTCTACCTCTCACTCTTCCTCTACCAGCTCTACCCCTACCTCTCACTCTTCCTCTACCAGCTCTACCTCTACCTCTCACTCTTCCTCTACCAGCTCTACCCCTACCTCTCACTCTTCCTCTACCAGCTCTACCTCTACCTCTCACTCTTCCTCTACCAGCTCTACCCCTACCTCTCACTCTTCCTCTACCAGCTCTACCTCTACCTCTCACTCTTCCTCTACCAGCTCTACCCCTACCTCTCACACTTCCTCTACCAGCTCTACCCCTACCTCTCACTCTTCCTCTACCAGCTCTACCCCTACCTCTCACTCTTCCTCTACCAGCTCTACCTCTACCTCTCACTCTTCCTCTACCTCTCACACTTCCTCTACCAGCTCTACCTCTCACTCTTCCTCTACCTCTCACTCTTCCTCTACCAGCTCTACCCCTACCTCTCACTCTTCCTCTACCAGCTCTACCTCTACCTCTCACACTTCCTCTACCAGCTCTACCTCTACCTCTCACTCTTCCTCTACCAGCTCTACCTCTACCTCTCACTCTTCCTCTACCAGCTCTACCTCTACCTCTCACTCTTCCTCTACCAGCTCTACCTCTACCTCTCACTCTTCCTCTACCAGCTCTACCTCTACCTCTCACACTTCCTCTACCAGCTCTACCTCTCACTCTTCCTCTACCAGCTCTACCTCTACCTCTCACACTTCCTCTACCAGCTCTACCTCTACCTCTCACTCTTCCTCTACCAGCTCTACCTCTACCTCTCACTCTTCCTCTACCAGCTCTACCTCTACCTCTCACTCTTCCTCTACCAGCTCTACCTCTACCTCTCACACTTCCTCTACCAGCTCTACCTCTCACTCTTCCTCTACCAGCTCTACCTCTACCTCTCACACTTCCTCTACCAGCTCTACCTCTCACTCTTCCTCTACCAGCTCTACCTCTACCTCTCACACTTCCTCTACCAGCTCTACCTCTACCTCTCACACTTCCTCTACCAGCTCTACCTCTACCTCTCACTCTTCCTCTACCAGCTCTACCTCTCACTCTTCCTCTACCAGCTCTACCTCTACCTCTCACAAATCAGAAAATGTGTTTAGACTTTTGGAGACTTGAGAAGAGGTTTTGCTCTCTGTGTGTCAGTTTAAATAATTGTGCTACGCATGTCATTTTAGTGTGTTAGCAATTGGAAAAAACTGTAAACACCCCCTTTCCTCCCTTCTCACATGCATGATATGCATCATAACAAACCAACCAAACAACAAACTAAAGTGGCACGAACCTTAAGTAATAAAGTGAAATACAAGCAAGTAATCAAATCAAAGTTAAATAATGATTATTCAAAATCCCTCACACTATTAACAAAAACAAACACACAACCCGAAACCAAAAATGGTTGTTTCCACAAATACAAGACAAACAAAACATTCGAAAAGTATGGAATCAAAGTACAATATCAATCAAAACCTTAATCAATAGAATTATTAACTGGTAACACATTTTATTAAATCAAGTCACTGACTGTACAAAAATCTTGCCACTAACAAAACCAAAACACACAGCATGTTTACCTATCTGTCTACTTACTGTGCACTGTCCCCTTTTCAAAGTCACATCTAATTCATTCTCTGCTGTATCATAGGAAACACTGGTGAACTTGGAAAGACAAATATATGCATTTGAAGGCAGCTACCTAGAAGACACCCAGATGTATGGCAACATCATCAGAGGATGGGACAGATACCTCACCAACCAAAAGTAAGTACCATGTATATTACACTCAGGCTTTCTGAGCTGCTTCTGTTTTCAAGTATATAGAAGAGGAAAAGACAGGGAAACGGTTGAACTGCTATCAAGAGAGCCACAATCATCTCGAATTAAAAGTACAAACATATGAATAAACCCTTTTTATTTCTTATTCAGAAACTCAACTTATTTATAGCTGTTATAAGTGTTAAAGATCCATTGAACTTGGGCAAGTCAAGAACTGTCTGTCAATTCACTTGATCAACAGTTGTTAACCTCACTGTGTTTTTACTTTTGACAGAAACTCCAACAGTAAGACTGACAGAAGAAATAGGAAATTCAAGGAAGCAGAGCGTTTATTCAGCAAGTCGTCCGTCACATCCGTTGCAGTAAGTTTCTTTCTCTGTGGACATTTCCACACTCCATATCTGTTGC